GAAGAGTCAGAGGAGAGAGAGGAGAGGAGGAGAGGAGGAAGAGTCAGAGGAGAAGAGTCAGAGGAGAGAGGAAGAGTCAGAGGAGAAGAGAGGAGGAGTCAGAGGAGAGAGGAAGAGTCAGAGGAAAGAGAAGAGAGGAGGAGAGAGGAGAGAGGAAGAGAGAGGAGTCAGAGAGGAGGAAGAGTCAGAGGAGAGAGGAAGAGTCAGAGGAGAGAGAGAGAGAAGTCAGAGGAGAAGAAGTCAGAGGAGAGGAGAGAGAGAGAAGAGTCAGAGGAGAGAGAGGAGGTTCAGAGGAGAGGAGAAGAGTCAGAGGAGGAGAGGAGTCAGAGGAGAGGAGGAAGAGTCAGAGGAGAGAGGAAGAGTCAGAGGAGAGAGGAGGTCAGAGAGTCAGAGGAGAGAAGGCAGAGAGAGAGTCAGAGGAGAGGAGGAAGAGTCAGAGGAGAGAGAGGAAGAGTCAGAGGAGAGGAAGAGTCAGAGGAGAGGAGAGGAGAGAGGAGAGTCAGAAGAGAAGGAGGAAGAGTCAGAGGAAGAGGAAGAGTCAGAGGAGAAGAGGAAGGCCAGAGGAGAGAGAGGAAGAGTCAGAGGAGAGGAGGAAGAGTCAGAGGAGAGAGAGGAGAGGAGTCAGAGGAGAGGAGTCAGAGTCAGAGAGAGGAGAGAGGAAAGTCAGAGAGAGAGGAGGAAGAGTCAGAGGAGAGAAGAGAGTCAGAGGAGAGGAAGAGTCAGAGGAGAAGAGGAGGAGAGAGAGTCAGAGGAAGAGGAGAGTCAGAGGAAGAGAGGAGAGTCAGAGGAGGAGAGGAAGAGTCAGAGGAGAGAGGAGAATCAGAGGAAGAGGAAGATCAGAGGAGAGAGGAGAGAGGAGAGGAGAGAGAGAGAGTCAGAGGAGAGAGGAAGAGTCAGAGGAGAGAGGACAGAGGAGAGAGGAGAGAGAGAGAGAGAAGAGAGTCAGAGAGAGAGGAGAGTCAGAGAGGAGGAGAGGAGTCAGAGGAGAGGAGGAAGAGTCAGAGGAGAGGAGGAGGAGAGTCAGAGGAGAGAGGAAGAGTCAGAGGAGAGAGGAAGAGTCAGAGGAGAGAAGAGAGGAGTCAGAAGGAGAGAGGAGAGAGAGTCAGAGGAGAGAGAGGAAGAGTCAGAGGAGAGGAAGAGTCAGAGGAGAGGAGGAGTCAGAGGAGAGGAGGAAGAGTCAGAGGAGAGAGGAAGAGTCAGAGGAGAGAGGAGAGGAAGAGTCAGAGGAGAGAGAGGAAGAGTCAGAGGAGAGAGGAAGAGTCAGAGGAGAGAGGAGAGAGAGAGTCAGAGGAGAGGAAGAGTCAGAGGAGAGAAGAGAGAGAGGATCAGAGGAGAGAGGAAGAGTCAGAGGAGAGAGGAAGAGTCAGAGGAGAGAGGAAGAGTCAGAGGAGAGAGGAGAGAGTCAGAGAGAGAGGAGAAGAGTCAGAGGAGAGAGAGGAAGAGTCAGAGGAGGAGAGGAAGAGTCAGAGGAGAGAGGAGGAGTCAGAGGAGGAGAGGAGTCAGAGGAGAGGAGGAAGAGTCAGAGGAGAGAGGAAGAGAGGAAGAGTCAGAGGAGAGGAAGAGTCAGAGGAGAGGAGGAGTTAGAGGAGAAGAGGAAGAGCCAGAGGAGAAGAGGAGGAGTCAGAGAGAGAAGAGTCAGAGGAGAGAGGAAGAGTGAGAGGAGAAGAGTCAGAGGAGAGGAGGAAGAGAGGAGGAGGAGTCAGAGGAGAAGAGGAAGAGTCAGAGGAGAAGAGGAGGAGTCAGAGGAGAAGAGGAAGAGTCAGAGGAGAAGAGGAAGAGTCAGAGGAGAAGAGGAGAGAGGAGGAAGAGTCAGAGGAGAAGAGGAAGAGTCAGAGGAGAAGAGGAGGAGTCAGAGGAGAAGAGGAAGAGTCAGAGGAGAGGAGGAGGAGTCAGAGGAGAAGAGGAAGAGTCAGAGGAGAAGAGGAGGAGTCAGAGGAGGAGAGGAAGAGTCAGAGGAGAAGAGGAAGAGTCAGAGGAGTCAGAGGAGCAGAGGAGGAAGGAGAGGATGAGGAGGTCATACATTAATGCTGCAGAGGAGTAAGAACAGAAACTTCAGTCTCTATTGGGGAAAAAAATGAAAGGAAGATTTGAATTTCCTTTTAAACTTTTTTCAACGGATCCATATTTTAAAATCACAAGTCCATAGAGGAGAGAAGAGAGGAGGGAGAAGAGAGAGAGGTGGGAGAGAAGAGAAAGAAGAGAGGAGAGAGAGAGGAGGGAGAAGAGAGAGAGAGGAGATAGGAGATAGGAGAGAGAGAACAGAGAGGAGAGAGAGGAGGGAGAAGAGAGAGAGAGGAGGGAGAGAGAGAGAGGAGATAGGAGAGAGAGAAGAGAGAGAAGAGAGGAGAGAGAGGAGAGAGAAAAAAGAGAGAGGAGGGAGAGAAAGCGAGGGAGAAAGAGGACGAAAGGGAGGGAGGAGAGAGAGAGGGAAACAAGGAGGGAAGAGAGAGACGGAGGGAAAAATGAGAGGAGGGAGAGAAACAAAGAAAGAATGAAATGG